CTGGGACCAGACGCCGCGAGTGTATTCATGAAGATCTTGTATCTGGCACGCTGCTGCCAGGGAGATCTCAATGTGGCTTTATGCATGTGATAAAAGGCTACATCGATTGGTTTGCTATCTCCAATCCACGCGGCGTCATTGCCAACACGGATGGATTTGTTGTGAGTCTGACAAAATGTCGATCGTGTTGTTCACGGATGCCTCGTTTGCAGATTGCGTTAACACTTCAAAATATAGCACTGGCGTCTTCGTCGGTCTCGTGGGCCCCAACGCGTTCTTCCCCTTGAACTCCGCATGCAGGAAGCTGACCGTAGTCTCCCACTCTTCTACCGAGTCGGAGATCGCGGCGCTGGATACTGCGCTGCGAACGGAGGGCCTGCCTCTGTTATCGCCCTGGGAAACAGCGGTGCGCGCCACGCGCGGCGACGCCGCACTGGCAGTCAATCAGAAGTGCTACAAACCACCAAAACGACGGGCTTCGCCCACGCGTGCTTCTTCTCCTCGTGCGCGGTCCTCGATGCAGACGCCTTCCACGTCACCGCCATCTACTACCAATAATATTGTGTATGACCATATGGTACTACATGCTCCTGATCCTCCTACCCGCGCTGCTCCACCACCCGTCGTGAACCTCACTGCGACAGAGGACAACGAGGCAGTGATCACGATAGTACACGAGGGACGTGCGCCAGCCCCTCGTCATCTCCATCGTACACGTCATATCAAGTTGGATTGGATTACGGAGACATGCCAGCAGGAACGCATCCAACTAAAATATGTAGGAACAAGAGAACATGTTGCATATATGATGACAAAACATTTCGAGCCTAAGAAGGCTCATCTGCGGAAGGATCTTCTTGAGTTGTCTCCCATTTTTCCTGTCGCCGCTGACGAGACGGAGATCGCGAAGACCGCCCCTGCCGCGAAGGGCCCCCTGGCCAATATTATCTGGCCCCCAGGAAAATGTCTGTAGCCATCGCGGGCTCGGGAGGCCGTCGCGCCCGCGGTGCGTTTCAAGTGTCTACATGGAGGCGGCGGTGCCTTGCGAACCCTGCTTCTTGAAAAGGCTGCCACTGTGCGTTACAGCCGCGCATCGAAAACTGCAGGTTCCTTGAGGGGGGCCCCCGGGTTTCGAGGTGAATTTCGATGTGGATTTCATGTGGATTTCGATTTGGATTTCGAAGTGGATTTCGCCGCCGGATTCCGACGCGGACCCACGCGTGAATTTCAGGAAGGATTTCGAGTGAGATTTCGAGGTCGTTTTTGTTGACGACCCTCGCGCGCTTCGCCGACCCGGCAGCGCCACCGGAAATACATGTCGGAATCCGCATCGGGATTCACATCGATATTCTGGGCCCGTCCCGACCCCTCCCCTCGCCCTCGTCCCCGGGTCGTTTTAGCGCGTGCCGAGCGCCCCGGCGCCCTGCGTCAGCGCAGCCATGCAAGGGGGCGGCCGTCTTCGGAGACGGGCGCGCCGACTGCGCGAGGGGCGGCCGTCTTCGGAGATGGGGCCCTTGCGGCATCGCGCCTTTCCCCCAGGAGACCGCCGAGGGCGCCGGGGGCAGCGGCGCGAAGCAGCGGCCAAAAGGGCCGCCCCAGCGAGGTCCAGAGGGCAATGGGTGTGTCATCGGTGAAGTAGGCTGGCAGTTGAGCGGGGGCATTCGCTCGCAGGTGGCACTTTTTCGGGCGTTGGTACATGCGTGAAAAATGTGCGCGTGAAAGTGTCTGCGTCGGCGGTCGTGTACATGACCTGCCACTATCTATTATATGGCCTTCGGCCCATCCGCCGCCGCGCCTGCGTTGTGGGCCAGGGAACTTCGAGGCGTGCGCATGGATCTCGCGGTAGCTCTCCCAGGGGCCTCTTGGGGGTTCTTGGGGCGGCCCCATGGGTGCTGTTTTGGGCGCTCTTGGGGGATCTGTCGGATTTTTCGAGGCGTCTTGAGGGCCTCTCGGGTCTGGCCTCTCGCGGGCGTCCTCGGGGCTTCTCTGGGGTTCCTCGACGCCGCGGGTGGCGCGCAAAAGGGTGGCCCCTCAACGCTGCCCCCCCGTCCGCGGCGCGCTCGCCGCAGGGCGCGGCAGGCGCGGCGCTTCCTCCACGCCGCAGGGGGGATGCGCAGCGGGCGGTTCCTCAGCGCGGCCTCTATCTGCGACGCGATCGCAGGGCGCGGCCAGAGTGGCACTTTCTCGGCGCCGCAGGGGGCGCGCAGTGGGTGGACCCTCGGCGCAGCAACTATCGCGACGCGACACGCTCGCAGGGCGCGGCAGGAGCGGCGCTCTGTCGACACCCAGGGGGGCGCGCAGAGGGTGGTCCCTCTTCGAGGCTTACATCCGCGGCGCGCTCGCAGGGCGCGGCAGGCGCGGCGCTTTCTCGACGCCAGAGGGGGCGCGCAGCGGGCGGTCCCCGAGCGCGGCCTCAATCCGCGACGCGTTTGCAGGGCGCGGCAGGAGTGGCGCTTCCTCGACGCCGCAGGGGCGCACAGTGGGTGGTCCCTCAGCGCGGCCTCTATTCGCGACGCGCCCACAAGGCGCGGCAAGAGTGGTACTTTGTCGACGTCGCAAGGGGTTACAAAGTAGGTGGTCCCTCAGCGCGGCATCCATTCGCGACGCACTTGCAGAGAGTGGAGGACGCGGCACTTTCTAGGCGCCGCAGGGGGCGCGCAGGGGAAGGCTCTTCAGCGCGGCCTCTGTCCGCGACATTGTTTGCGGAGGAGGAGGAGGAGGAGGAGGAGGAGGAGGAGGAGGAGGAGGAGGAGGAGGAGGAGGAGGAGGAGGAGGAGGAGGGGGGAAGAGGAAGGGGATGAGGAACGCCAGCCAAGGCCTCTTAGTGTCCAGTATCTCGAATCAGACCCCGCGAGCGCACGTGGCTCTTCCTTCTCCTTCACCTTCTCCCCCTTCTCTCTCCCGCGCATTGTTTCCGCAACATTTCGACGCGCCGCGGGCGGTGGTTGCGGGCAGGATTTGACCCCCGATTCTCGGCCACGCTGACATCGCGACTGCCCATATGAACGCATGGCGCGGTAGAGTCCTTCTTGAGGGAAACCTTCGGGCGCGCCGCGGATCGCCCCTTCCGGGGCGCGCTGCTCCCCGCGGGGGAGCTTTCGGAAGGCAGGCGTCGGTCCGAGACGCCCGCGCGGCGTGCAAGAGGAAACGTTTCTCGCCCAGTTGAAGCATCCGAACCATACCAAGAGGCGATGGGCACATGCGACTTAATTTTGCTGCGACGTTTGCAGGGCCATGGGCGCCCATGGCGTCGGATGCTGCTCGCGCGCCGCAAATTGATCTGCAGCGGGATGCAAACGACCATTTGTTCGTCCGCTGCCTCGGCGGCGGGCGCGCCAGCTCGCCCAGCGCCCAAGAGGCGGGTTTGTTTGCGCATGCAATTCCCGAATACGAGCGCGCCGGTTTGCCTGGCGCCGCGAAGGCGGGTTTGTGGGTTTGCTCGAGTCCCGCGGGCCTTTTGCCGCGGGTTTTTTTCGCGGCCGGGTGGCCGTTTGCCGCGGCGTTTTTTTTCGCCCGCGGGCAGGTCCCGCAACGGCAGCGAAGACGACCTGCTCGCAGTCATTTGCTTGCCCCCCCCCCTCTCGCGCGCCGTCTCCGCGACGTTCCGACGCGCGGCGATGGGGCGGCCGAGTTCGGGCCCCGAGTTTCGGTTGCGTTTGCAGGGCAGCTGTCCTCGCCGGCAACGCGCGCGGCGACGTTTTCTCTGAGGGAGTTTCTGGGGGTGTCGCGGAAATCTTCTCGGGCGCGTCGCGGCTCCCGCCCAGCGCTGGCCGTTGCCGCCCGACGCCGCGCAACCGCTGGTCGGGGCCCCTTGTCGCGCGGGCAACTCTTCGCGCTGGGGCGGCTCGGCGGGGCGCCCGGCCCAGAACATTTCCGGTCGTTTCCACGGCCAGTGGCGCGCGCTTACGCGAGGGGGGGTGCGCGCCATGCAGGTTTTCCCCGCGGCGACGCGCGCGCCTGCGACCGCTTGCCCGCGCGCTCCCGCATCGTCGTGGCTCGCGCATTCGGAAATGATTCGTATCCATGTTCCAAGAAGCAGAGACAAATCCTCACAATGCTTGCTGAGACCTGGCAGCCTGAGACATCCGGCGTTTCGATGTTTTCGATATGCGGTTCCCCGACCTCCCGGCCACTTCCCCAGGGCCCGCTTTTCATCCCGAGTTGTTTTTTTGGCGGTCCTGGGGCTCGGCAAGGGCACCGCGAGGCCGAAAGCGATGAAATGTTCCAGTCTTGATAATTCCAAGGCCTTCCTGTCGGTGCCGCCAACCCAATCGGAGGACGACGATGACGACGACGTCAAACACGACGACGAAAACGACGAAGACGTTGACGACGACGACGGCGACGACGACGACGGTGGCGACGGCGACGGGACGGAGAAAAACCTCCTCGATATTTTTTCGGAGCTGCACCCTCTTCGCTGTCGCGCGGAGCGCGCCAGGGGCGGCGCCGCATGGGGGGCCCAGCGCGCTGCACAGCCTGCACACGGGAGCTCCGCAGCCGCTTCTGGCCAAGAAAAGGATCCAGAGTCCGAAGCGCGTCGCCAACAAATAGTGGTTGAGATCGGGAACACACCAAGTGCTAAAATCGCGCGGAGCTCCAGAAGTTTATGATTTTGCCGCTGTTTGGTTCCTCTGGCCACACCGTGCTAGGGCTGCAGGACGGCGCTGGCCTGGCGCAGTGGCGGCGTGCAGGGCCCCGCTGCGCGTCCCGCTCCTCCGGCCCCTGTTCCCCCGGAGTCTCTCCCTGGCGAGCTGCGCCCGGGACTCCTCCGCCACCTCGCCTGCTCGGAGCCCCGGGGTCCGAGGCGGGGATTCATCCATTAGGGGATCGATATTCGCGGACCTCCACAGGCGGTGGATGTGAACATAGTTATTCAAGCCTCCAGGGGCCCAAATACATCCGTATCCACCGCCCGCTGGGCCATTAGGACGTCGGTTCTCAGGCGGTGGATGGTGGATATGGGTAAATCCCCGCCTCGCATGGGGGCGCGGGCGGAGGGGCCGCGGCACCAACAAGAGCGACGACACCGGGTTCATCTACCGGGTCCCGCGGCGGAAGCCCTCGGCGGAGGAGTCGGCGCAGGCGACGCAGGTCCATGTGGTGGGCCGTTGGGGGGAAAGCGAGCATCAATGACACGCCGCCGCCGGGAGCCCGTCAGCGTGTTATCTCCCAGCTCGTTTCTTGTCCGACGACCTGGTGTTCTTTGCTCTCCACGGCGGCGCGTCATTGATTCAGTTCTTGCTCCCCCGGGGAAGGGCGTCTGGGCATGTGATCGAAGGATCGACACCGGCATAAACACAAGCTTTCGGAGGTCCGCGCAATTACCAGCGAAGGCCCAAGGGCAAGGGATTCGCGCGGATTTGCCCGCAGCTTGTGCTGATGCAGCTGTTTGTTGTTCTAACCTGCGTTTGTAATTAGAGATGGAGGAAGACGATGAGGCTGTGAGAGGATCGGCGACAAGGACGGTGATCGTCAGGGCGCGCGTATGTGCGCTTGGGAGGCGTGTGTTCAGACCTGGCCTCATTCTCGCCCGCTTACTCCCTCCACCTCGTTGGCTGCTTGAGTCTCCCTGGGCACCTGGCTTTCGAACGACGCGGCTGGGGGCAGTCGGCGGAATGCGAGTACAGGAGCAGGGCCGGCGATGAGCACACATGGTATCTTGGCCAGAGACTCACATGGTGACGTGCGAGGTCAGCGATAGAAGTGTTGAGCGGAGCAGAATGCTACATCTTTCCAGTGAGGCGGACATGCAGTAATTCGCATACTTGCGATTGAGTGCATGAGCTTGCTAGCGCCTGGGTGTGTGGTATTCGTTTTAACAGTTGGAATTCAACCTTCCGTTGCCGTGCTTGATTTCAAAATGCGATCGTCGTGGCCTGGGTGGTTGTGTCCTCGGGGATAATGTTGCGCTTGTGCCGACGTGTGCGCATGTATAGCTCAGACGCCTACGGCGAGTCACCGCCGCCCCGTGCCTTCCTGGAAACGCCGATGTGGCCAAATGTTGGGCCAAAGCTTGGCCAAGCTATTGGACTATGTGGTTTCCTAGCCGTGGTGGCAACCTTTGGTGCACCAGACGAGGATGAGCAGCAGCAGGAGGCGGAGGAACACCAGAGTATGTCCAAGATGCATCACCGATGATGCCATACACCTTCCCGTCCCACGGCCTCTCCCCATAAGTCTCTACAAGCCTTCCTTCTCATTGCAATAAGACCCCCCCCCGCCTCACTTGAAAGACCAGGGCCATATGGGCCTGCTATTCAAGCGATAGCCGCGTCTGGAACAGGAGCTGCGTTCCACCCTTCCAGCGCATGATCAATCACATGTAGCAGTCGGATCATACAGTTCAGCGAAGTGTCCAGCGAGATCCCCGATGCGGAAAAGCACTGCCCCCCATCTGTTTAATTGTTGCACAGTGCTACACCTATTGGCATGAAGTTCGAGGACGTCTTGAGCGAGATCCCAATTCTGAAGTAGAATCGCCCTCCACCTGGGCAGATTATACACATGATATTCTCTCCGGTTTCCAGGTTCAGCGAAGTTTCAATCGAGAACCCTCATGTTGAAAAGAAGCCGTCCGCGAAGGTGTGCGGCCCTGTGGCGAGAGCCCCACTCCGAGAAGAAGCCGCCCTCCACCAGTGTAAGTGCTGCGAGACAAACAATGAGTGTGGGCGGCGCTCCGGTCGAGTGCCCCACAGGCTTCTAGGGCTGATGCGCAGGGCGCTGAGTCGATCGCAGCAGTTTGAACATGACCTGTTTTTCACCCTCATGGCTGCGGCAAGCCTGTAAGACGAGAGTGCGCAGCGCTAAGACGAGAGCCACATTCTGAAAACCACCCACCCTCCATCCGTGTAACTGCTACCAGCTTCTCAAGCGAATGTGCGCGGCCCTAGGGCGAGCGCTCCATGTGGAAATCGACCATCCAACCATCCGTGTCATTCAGGATGGTAAGTGGCTAGGGAGTCTCAGGCGAAAGGCCCGGCCCGCCCTACCCCACGGAAGCGTCGGGGTGTGTGACAGAGAGGAGTTATCCATAAGGAAGAGGGACGGGGGCGAACGAGGAGGTGGCCTCTTAGGGGCCTCTTGGGGCCTCCTGGGGGCCTCTTGGGGGCTCCTTGGGCCATTTAGGGCCGTCTTGGAACAATATTGGACAGTCTTGGGGCCATCTTCGGCCATCTTGGGCCGTCTTAGAGGGCATCGTGGACCATCTTGGAGGCCGTCTTGGAGGCCATCTGAGACCGTCTCGGAGACCTCTTGGGCTGTCTTGGGGCCATCGGGCAGTCTGAGGTTATCGGAAGCCCTCGCGAGCGAGTGGCGCCGAATCTTCATAAAAAGGGAAAGCGCATGTTCTACATCTTGGCGCCCTCTTGGGAGTCCTCTTGAAAGCCTCTTAGGGCGTCTTGGAGGCCGCTTGGCACTTTCGCAGACCATCTTCGCCATCTTGGCCGACTTGGAGGACATCTTGGAATGTCTTGGAGGCCAGATGGTCCATGTCGGGAGTCTTCAAGGCCATATTGGTATCTCGAAACATCTTGGACGCCATCTTCGGTCATCTTGGAAGAACCCAGTTGCTCAGCTGCTAGAGTCTAGAGGCGTACCTGCGCAGCTTTGTGCCGCTCACAAGGTGTGGTGTGGTGGTGGTGGTGGTGGTGGTGGTGGTGGTGGTGGTGGTGGTGGTGGTGGTCGTGGTCGTGGTCGTGGTCGTGGTCGTGGTGGTGGTGGTGGTGGTGGTGGTGGTGGTGGTGGGCCGGGCGGATTAGTTTGCAGCATGCCTATCAGTTGTATCCTTGGGGCTACTGGTATAGCCTCTACGTGCAGTGGCTCTCAGCCCGGCGCTTGCAAGAAGCGGTGGAGGCGGTCCTTCGGGAAGTGCTCTTTCGGGGCCGAGCAGGCTCGGGCTCCTCGGGCCCTGATCTCCGCCGACCCCGCACTGACGCCTGTCGCGCGGCCCACACGCTGATGCTTCTCGCGGCTTTGGAACTGCATGCAGCATGCAGCGTTGATGCCAGCGGCTTTGGAGCCGCTGCTGGAGCGGTGGGATGCAGAGGGCGCCAGAGCTCGCGACTGGGGGACCAGGGGTCCAGGGGTCCATGCCGAAGACGCGTCGAGGAGGCCCAGCATAACGGCGACGGCAGGGCTCGGACGACAGGGACAAGACTTCCAGGCAGGGCGCCCCAACGAGAGCTTCGGGGTGTCCCCCGAAGCCCCAGAAGTACAGCTTCCGTCCTGCGTCACATGGGAGAGTGCAGCGAGTAGCTGGCACGAGGTCAGAACATGTCCATATCCACGGCCTCGCTGTCCGGACCCCTTGGCCGCGCCGCCACCGCCCCACACAGGGCGGCTCTGCACGGGTGTCCCAAAACGGAACTTTTCCATGGGATCGCGCATCCACGGGATCGGGCCTCGGCGTTCAGATTTTGGGCATTGCGAGAACGTCCAATCGACATTGGCATTCGAGTGTGCTGGTGCAGTCCCCAGGCGGTTTCGCTATTTGACGTGCGTCTCGCTGGATGCAGTCGGTTGGTCTTGCACGTCGATTAGCTACCCCACTTGGGTCCACCAGAGGACGTGTTGCTCGAGGGCACTCTGTCACTCTCCGAAGATCGCCAGGCCACGGATTGGACGAACTCCAAAACCGCGAGGGCACGGTTTCCAGCACACGGCCAGGGCGGCCGCGACCACCAGTCCCCGCCCTCGGTCTCGCGAGGCTCTGGGAGGCCGACGGTCTGCTTGGAGGCGCCATCGCCAGTCGCCCGTGGGGCGGGGCGGGCGCGCGCACAGAGGCGGGGGGGGCGGGGAGGTCCTTGCGGCAATCATAGGCGCCCGCGCCCACTTCTTTGGACGCCCGAACTGGGGTTGCGGAACAAGGGGGTACAATACCCAACAACAGGTACTGTTCAAAACCGACAGCGGCCGCGGTTGGGCAGGTAGCTTTTTGTCTTCAGTGAACATCGTCCGCGGCGGCGCAGACAGCGAGTCTTGTTCAAAATGACGGGAACTGCTGTTGGCATCGTACCCGGGCTTTCCGTACCCAGTTCGATCGCCCCGAACCTCTCTCTTCTGCCGGGGGGGCGTGCCATCTCGGGTGGGGCCGATATGTGCCCGCTCGTCCCCGCCGGCCCCGCTGCCGCCTCTCTCGGCTCTCTCGGCTCCGGCGCCGCCTGCTCGCCCCTGCGCCCCCCGCTCCGCCGCCTCGCGCTCCGCTCCCTCCTTCTCCCAGGTCCTCCTCGGCCCTCCCCGTTCCCCCCCGTTCTCTGCCTCTCCGCCCATCTGCCCCTCCTCGCTCTCTACACTTATGCAACATGAATACTATTCTCCCTCTTCCCCTGATGACGGCTTGGGAGTATCCGACCCCCCCCGCGTATTGTTTTTTTCCCCACATGCTTCGTGGGGTTCTGGTTTTCTTCCCTGCCGCGCCGCACCCGCGACACACACCTCACTCTTCGTACAGCACAGCTCAGCACAGCACATCACAGCACAGCGCAGCACAGCACAGCTCAGCTCAGCACAGCACACAGCTCAGCTCAGCTCAGCACGCAGCACAGCACAGCTCAGCACAGCCCAGCACGGCTCAGCTCAGCACAGCACAGCACAGCTCGTGGCACTGGCGCAAAGCCTAGCAAGCGTGGCACTTTCTCGACACCACAGGGGGTGCGCAGGGGGTGGTCTCTCAGATCGGCCGCTATCCACGACCGACACCACAGGGGGTGCGCAGGGGGTGGTCCCTGAGCGCGGCCGCTATCCGCGCCAGTCGTCCAGGCATAGCAGGCGTGGCACTTTCTCGACACCATAGGGGGTGCGCAGGGGGTGGTCCCTGAGCGCGGCCGCTATCCGTGCCAGTCGTCCAGGCATAGCAGGCGTGGCACTTTCTCGACACCATAGGGGGTGCGCAGGGGGTGGTCCCTGAGCGCGGCCGCTATCCGTGCCAGTCGTCCAGGCATAGCAGGCGTGGCACTTTCTCGACACCATAGGGGGTGCGCAGGGGGTGGTCCCTGAGCGCGGCCGCTATCCGTGCCAGTCGTCCAGGCATAGCAGGCGTGGCACTTTCTCGACACCATAGGGGGTGCGCAGGGGGTGGTCCCTGAGCGCGGCCGCTATCCGTGCCAG